ACGGTATGAGAGTTACCATCACCCTGTCACTATAAGGTCGCTTTGTGGACTGTCGTAAGCCTATGTTACGGTATGAGAGTTACCATCACCTTGGCACTACTAGATCGCTTTGTGGACTGTCGTAAGCCTATGTTACGGTATGAGAGTTACCATCACCTTGTCACTATAAGGTCGCTTTGTGGACTGTCGTAAGCCTATGTTACGGTATGAGAGTTATCATCACCTTGGCACTATTAGATCGCTTTGTGGACTGTCGTAAGCCTATGTTACGGTATGAGAGTTACCATCACCTTGTCACTATAAGGTCGCTTTGTGGACTGTCGTAAGCCTATGTTACGGTATGAGAGTAACCATCACCTTGGCACTACTAGATCGCTTTGTGGACTGTCGTAAGCCTATGTTACGGTATGAGAGTTACCATCACCTTGTCACTATAAGGTCGCTTTGTGGACTGTCGTAAACCTATGTAACGGTATGAGGGTTGCGATCACCTTGGTACTACTAGATCGCTTTGTGGACTGTCGTAAGCCTATGTTACGGTATGAGAGTTACCATCACCTTGGCACTATTAGATCGCTTTGTGGACTGTCGTAAACCTATGTTAAAGGATTCTTAAAAGGTTTTTACACATGCTTTATATTCACTATTAATGAATACTTAGATATATATGTTACACACTCAAGGCAGTTTGAAACATTAACACTTCGTTATATAGCTTGAATTTGCAATCTAAAACGGACGATCATCGAAAGCATTTGGCGATTACGTAAGATAATGAGGTAGCCAGTCACGTGATCGTGTGACGTCATACCGGACAGTTGTAGCATCAAAACACACAAGTTGCGCAATGGTGCCGCGCCGAATCGCTCTCGGAATTTTCTTTTATCTTCACCCATAATTCGACCCACAAGGTCAAAAATGGATTTGGAAGGTCTACCCCATACAGATACTGACATAGAAGTACAACCTTTTCAATTTGACCCAATTTCTGGCAGCAAGAACGACCAGAATACTGACGACGATTCCAGCAGTTCACAAGAAAGCAGTGACGATCCCGATCTCGACGATGTTTTGAATAGGCCTCACACAGACTGGTATGCTAGTAATTAGCGTGCCATATATTCAGGAAAACAGATTAAATATGGAATCAATCTTTCAGCTGTCACGGTAAAATGTGTAGTCACAATTACCGCAATGTTAGACCAATAATAATATGCGAAGCCACGCCTATATATATGTGACAGTAAATGCTCAAATCGCGAGTTACAAGTTAATCGGTTCAAAATAATATGTCAGACTTTTCACCTTAATTATTAAATGTGTTATAAAACTTCTTCTGGCTAAATATACCCAACAGAAGGATCGAATATGGGGATCAACCTTTCTGTGAAATACCATTACGTACGTCAGTCAATACACGTACTAGCACAGTACCCTAAATTCGTTAGTGTAACATTATCAATGTTGCCGGTGCATCGAAGTTCAATTTTATAACACATTCAATTTCTATAGCTATTGGTAAGCTGTTGTGATAGTTATTGTGGAATATAAATTTTCAAAAATGGAACACATGACATGTTAAATAATTATGAATTTTTATAGTGTGAATTTTAAAAGTGTGCCATAAATAAGAAATACGTGAAATTCTTTTAATTTTAGGGAACTGTACCATAAAGAAATTGATAGGTTTGCATTATTTATGTATTATTAGCTATAACATAATTTTGTTGATAGGTGTGACTGTGGCAACTGTTTGCCTATGTCATCCCGACCTGAGTCGAAATGTTGCCACTTTTATGCTGGGGTGAGAGAGAAACCTTTGGATTGCATCACTCAACATGAAGGATTCTCAGTAAATTTCACCAACATACACGTCCTACAGTTGGCTCTCCTTGAATTTGTGAGCTTGGCTGGCCCACTAGACGATAACGAACCAATTCATAAGTATGTTTCTTCTTAACCGCTGACAATTACTATAGTAAATGTAGCTGCATCGATTAAAATTGACATATCCTTATCATTGTAATCCATCAAATATTCTCCTAAACTGTCAGCAAGTGAAAAAGAAATATTCTTCAATGCCTTACAGTAATCATGAGTAGTATAGAACGGGTCCGCAGGAGCCTTTTTTGGTTGATCCGGTTGATCCAGGCGCTGCGTACTATTGTGAACCATTTGTAAAGAATTATTCAGCCCTGTCCCGACTTGCATAGTTGATGTTTCAATGCTAGCTTTTCCATTTAACGCGATGACAAATAAGCCCTACGGTTTGAGTTTTAACCGTGTAACATGATGTGCACAGTTTTACTTCAGAACGTGCTATTTTGAAAATAGATAGAAAACTGATAAGTACATGTACCCGTGTGACGGCACAAAGCTAGGTTTGTTGGGAAAGTGATGGAAGCAATCTATAGGACATTTTCATGTTTACAATACTCACCCTTAATTCGAAGAGAGAACAGAGTTTATCATGGAAAATTGTTTGATGAACTCGCCCGCACACATGTCTATAGGGTTATGTTCGCCCGAACTGTAAACAGTGACACATTGATAACAGGAAGGGTGTGTGGAATGCACTCGTCCTTGTAAGGGTAAAATACGCGTTTAAACTCACCGACTTTTTTAGATGTATTGGTATCAGTGAGTGAGTGAATTTAGTTTTACGCCACACTCGGCATTATTCTAGCTCTAGGACGGTGGTCTGTCAATAAACGAGCTTGGACCAGAAAATCCAGTGATCAACAGCATGAGCAGCGATCTGTGCAACTAGGAACCGATGGCACGTGTCATCCGAGTCGGCGAGACTGACCAACCGATCCCCGTCAGTCGCCGATAAGCATGGGTTACTGAAGGTCGATTCTATAACCCGGGACCTTCACGGGTGTAGTATGACGAAGACTATATACTAATATGCCAAAAACTGAGAAAAAAAACAAACAGTTCATTCGTATCATTTATTGATTCGAGTCAATCGGTTCCATACAAAGCCGTAATATACGAATGGACAATAGTATTCACTCTGGAACATTATGACTACGTGACTACCTCGTTGTTGCGCGCTAAACGTAAACGACACTGCTAGCTTCCTGATTTTGTAGTCTTATCTATTTTGTCTATAATTTTTTTTTTTCTATACAGGTTGTCAAACGTTCATGGTGTACAACGTGTAGACCGTACAAGATGAATTTGATCCAGCTAGACGTACATTTTTTTGTGTGCCTACATTACCCGGCGTATATCGTGTTGACATAACCCGTCTCTAATGTGGTATGATGTACTTTCAACACACATCCTGTATTCATCAAACCAGGTCGCACGCTCTAGCGAGCGCGGGTTAAACGACGAGGCCACGTGAGTTGTCAAGCGCGCTCAATTCAAACTGGGCTGCTTGTCTATTCAGAGCAGCACGCTATACATTTAGCTCTATTCAAAACCCTTTACTTTTGTTTTCTTATGAATTCTTTTCTGCCGTATAAACACACACCTTTCATTCCCCACCCTTTCCCGACGCGTCCTATCCGATCACGTGACTTGGATCAACCAATCACCTTCGCATCCGCCTGGATCAACCGGATCAAACAAAAAAGGTTCCTGCGGACCCGTTCTATACTACTATCATGGTAATATATAACATGAATAAAGTGTGATCAGTTCCAAAGAAAGACCTGCAATCAAATTAAGGAACAACTAGAACAAAACTGAAGGTGTAAATAATTTATTTGCATACTACTTTTTAACATAATGTTAAAAAATTGATCAATTAAAACAATATCTAGACTAACACCACAAAGACATGTTGGATTAATAACAGAAGTGAAGTAGCAATAAATTATGTTTGTCTGTTTAACGACACACTCAGCAATATTCCAGATATATAACGGCAGTCAGTAGATAATCGAGTCTGCACCAGACAATTCAGTGATTGACATCATGAGAATCGATCCATGCAGTTGGGATACGATGACATGCATCAACCAAGTCAGCTGTGTCTGCGGGCTTGTCTACTCTCTACTCTCATTTGCATAGAAACTACCTTGAACTAGATCATCTGCCATATCTTTCAACATATAGATAGGCATACCATCACGATAGAACCTTCTTCTGATAATAAAGATTTCTTCAATCCATTTTTCTAGATAGTCTCTTTGAAATTGATGTCTCAAATGAGAGAGTCTCACTTAATCGCCCACTTTAAATTTAAAGGGTTTCTTCACTGACTTCTGTTTGATTTCAGCTTTCGATTTGACTGGCTTTATCAAAGTGTCAATGTATTGTTCCTTCCATACTAAAGCTTCATGAGTCAGATTAATATCTGAGGGTGATCTTTCATTCAATGATCTGTGAGGTCTGTGGTTATAATCCCGGACGAGATCAAGGCCTTAATGACCGCATCCAGTGTTTTATTTTTAAGGGGCGTGTAAATACATTTATAGCTATGAGTAAGTATTTCACAACGTCATTGTCCGAGGCAATATCAGCAAAGTCAATATCCCATCGAGCATTGAGGCCTGAAGCCACCACTCTGTTCCGCTTGAGCTTGTATCTTAAAGGTCGCTGAAGCGAATAGGCATCTCGGTATGTCAACCACTTCTTTATGTGATGCAAACTAATATCAAATTTCCCCTCCTTTTTCGCAATGTGATACAACTTAGCAGGGCCAGAAAAGGAGGCTGGGTGTTTGGGATTCAAATAAATACTAGACAAATATGCTTTCCATCCGTCAGCAGGCATGGTTACACGTGAAATGAAGCCTACACGATGTAAATAGAGCTTATATATTTATCCACTACATAGCCTATCAAAACTACAGAGACGGGCCTGGGCTACATTCAATGCCAAACGTACTTGTGTTTTTATGTTAACCCGTGTATACAGCTGACTGCCTTCATTGCATACCGTCTGGCGACGTGACCTAGTTCATCACTGTTTCCAGTAACAAAACAATTCTCCTTTACCTATGCAACTAATGTAAACATAAAATAACTGACAACATTGCTTCCTCACTATTTCAAAGGAATTTCATACATACTATTCTACAGATTTTGATACTTAAAAGACCGATGTTTGAATGTGTAACCGTTGATCTGTCTATAGCGTAACGTCATTTAGATTGTCATGCCTCCGTGCTTGGGGTCAGTGGGTGCGAGCCTGGGGCAGAACGCCCAATGTTCTTTCATCAAGGGAATACATTCCATCTGGAGAAGTGGCAGGGTTCAAGTACTATAGACCTTCTTAATACATCAGACACATATGATTTCAGTTCTTTCACCAGGATTGGTGTTGGGGAAGTAATCTGGATTGTTTCCTCAGCCTTATCTTCCTCTATGTCCTCTTTAAACACAATCTCACTCCTCTTGTACAGGTCACACTGTACAGCCACGGTCTTGCCTGAATGCATCTTGTGAGTCTTCGGACGGGTAATGTCTGAATCCGTCTTGTGCGAAGATGTATTTTTGCCTTGGGAACTGCCACTGTAAATAAAACAAATATCAAAATCATATAACATAAATATACTAGGATAAACCAGGTCAGACCTATGGACATTATCTCTCGATGTTACTTATTACTATATTAGATATCCTTAATCATAAATCTCATTGTATCCCTTCCACTATTCAGGCTATTACATGTCCATTCCATTGCGATAATTTCCCTGGACCAACTGGACATGATGGCTTTGATTAACAGGATTATGTCAGCAGGGTTTTGTCCAATCAAAAGTATAGCATGTGGTTTCTTTCGCCAACCTTGATTTGTCTCCAGATATGTATACATGAGTATTTATCATAACAGAATGGCCTGAATTATTGGAAGAAGGTATCCCTCAATCAATCTATAGTATTTTCTGTCACATTTGTCTAAAATGATTATCCAAATATCACAATGAAAGCTCAAATAGTTACAATTACGGAATTAATTAATCAAATTTGATTCTGAGCAGAATCAATATATGAAATGTTAGAATAAATCACTTACATGACACCTGACACTCGAAATGGTGTTTTCCACTGCCAGACTGAACACAAGTTTGAACAGGCTCGAATGTTGATATATGTTGAATATCTGTACCTCCGGACTGTCCACAATCTTAAGTTGCTTTGAAACTATCATATGCTTCTTTCAGATCCTAAAACGGGAAAATAATTAATATAGATTTTATTACACATTCTAGATCTAATTAATTTTACAAAATATAAATTATATAAATCGTAGACAATTATGACAATTCTGATTTTTTCTTAAACACAGTAACCTTGCGACTAGTGTATGTAGGAGGAATGCCCAATCCCTCATGGGTGACAAGGCATACTGCCAAAACCTACGAGATGCGCGAAAACTGTGACATAATTACAGCTAAAAACAAAGTAGTCAAATCGATCTACACCCAACAACTCTGGTAAATGAAAACTGTGAGAGATACAAACGAGCATGTCATATCATACGACTCAATATTGTGAATCAAGTTCATATCTACTTCACTCACTTCTATTTGTTCTAACCGTCGTCGCTCCTGAAAAAGCCCCCCTCTCGGTGAACGTGGCACTTTTGGTGACATTCTTGCTCGTGCCGTCGATAGCCAGGGGAATGTCCGGTACGGCATGCTTAAAAAGCTTGGGTTTAGCTTTCGTGTAGCCATACTGTGCCATGAACTCGGGATCCCGTTCATAATTATTCTTCGAGATATGCAAGGAGCACAACGTGCTGTGTTTGCTTATGTCTTTGAGTTTGACATCAGCACGTCGACAATACGCCAGCCACAGCTTTCTTCTTGGTAGATCGCGGGGAAATCCATGGAAATGAAGGCCTGAAGTATTCGTAGCACTCGAAGTGCACCCGAATGCGAGACAATACGGCATATTGTCACTACAACTTCATTCAAAATATAGCGCTTAGCGTCACTTTTCAGTCGACAGCCAAGCGTAAACACGAACGATCAACACATAGCGGACTGTCTGGTATGACGTCACAGCCACAGGAGGCTGACCGCTAAATAAAAAACTATGCATACGAGTGGGCGGAGCCAAAGTGTTCTAGGTTTTGGAGCATAATTATAACAATTACGAATTATTTTCAAAAATCGACTATGCAGATTTGGTATAAATTCATGTTTGAATGGTATTCTGTAAGAAAAATGCTGTGTTCGTAGCCTTTTTAATAATCCTTTAAGGTATGAGGGTTGCGATCACCTTGGTACTACTAGATCGCTTTGTGGACTGTCGTAAGCCTTATTAAGGTATGAGAGTTACGATCACCTTGGCACTATAAGTTCGCTTTGTGGAATGGGGCTCTTGCTGCTTTTCACCCCTTTCACCACCCATACTCCCCTCACATGCAAAGATACGCCTCTCCCACCAATACTCCATTCACAAACATACTCCCCTCACATGCAAAGATACGCCTCTCACAAACATACTCCTCTCACATGCAAAGATGCGCCTCTCCCACCCATACGCCTCTCACAAACATATTCCTCTCACATGCAAAGATACGCGTCTCCCACCCATACTCCTCTCACAAACATACTAGTCTCACAAACATACTCCCCTCACATGCGAAGATACGCCTCTCCCACCCATACTCCTCTCACAAACATACTAGTCTCACATGCAAAGATACGCCTCTCACAAACATACTCCCCTCACATGTAAAGATACGCCTCTCCCACCAATACTCCATTCACAAACATACTCCCCTCACATGCAAAGATACGCCTCTCACAAACATACTCCCCTCACATGCAAAGATACGCCTCTCCCTACCATACTCCATTCACAAACATACTAGTCTCACATGCAAAGATACGCCTCTCACAAACATACTCCTCTTACATGCAAAGATACGCCTCTCCCACCCATACTCCTCTCACAAACATACTAGTCTTACATGCAAAGATACGCCTCTCACAAACATACTCCTATCACATGCAAAGATACGCCTCTCCCACCCATGCTCCTCTCACAAACATACTAGTCTCACATGCAAAGATACGCCTCTCACAAACATACTCCTCTCACATGCAAAGATACGCCTCTCCCACCTATACTCCTCTCACAAACATACTCCTCTCACAAACATACTCCCCTCACATCCATACTCCCCTCACACAAATATATACACCTTTCACAGGCTTGCATCCCTCACATTCATACACTTCAAATATATGTACAATGTCATGTTTTACATACATATTCATTTCGAATATAATTACTAGTATATCGGGGGCACGGGTGGCCCAGTCGTCTATGGCGCCGCGATTCGCTGTGCAGAGTTGCGTCCCTTTGGCACGCCAGAAACCTATGATTGTGGGTTCGAATCCCGGTTCGCCCCGATCATGTTTCTAGGTTTGTCAGCACCATACCCGTGCTCGTGGGTTTCACCGAAGTGGTAAACGTCTGATACCTGCATCACTTCGGGCTTTCCTCCCACATTAAGCTGACACGCCGTGATATAACTGGAATACTGTTAAAAGCGGCGTTAAACCCAACTCACTCACTCACTCACTCACTGTGTGATCATATCGTATTACTGTAGCGTCGTAACAGATACACACCCGTGAAGATCCGGGTTAGAATAGGTCTCCAGCCTCTCCAGCCATTATTAGCATGAACCCCTAATTTAGTCGACATTTACACAACCGCATGTGATTGAGACCATTTTGACCCATCTCAACCACGTGCACATCATCATGATTTGGTTCGTGACAGTGAGTGAGTGAGTAAGGTTTCACGCCACTTTTAGCAATGTTCCAGCCATATAACGGCGGGGGACACCAGAAATGAGCTTCACACATTGTACCCATGTCGGGAATCGAGCCTGGGTCTTCGGCGTGACGAGCGAACGCTTTTACCACTAGGCTACCCGACCGCCCCGGTTCGTGAAAGAGATACAACATGCATACAAACTCAATTTTTTGTTTTACAATTATTTAGTGCATGCATGCGAGTGAATAAATATGTTATATTATTGTTTGCTGTTACTTTCATTTCAAACAACATTTTCCCATTATTTTTTCAAAACAAACTATGTTATCCTGTCACGAGGGACATTGCACTGAACAAACCTGTCCCGTGGTCATATTATTTTGATACGGAAATATCTCTGTCTGCATTTCCACGTTATTGTGAAAATCTATCGGCTTAGCTGATGGTGTACTTTTTAACCAGGATGTTACTATAGATGACGCATCACGCGAGATGCGGCCGGGTAGAATCACGTTGAGTGAGTGAGTATGGTTTTTCGCCGCTTTTAGCAATATTCCAGCAATATCACGGCGGGGGGACACCAGAAATGGGCTTCACACCTGGTACCCAAGTGGGGGATCGAACCTGGGTCTTGGCGTGACGAGCGAACGCTTTAACCACTAGGCTACCCCACCGCCCCAGAATCACGTTGAAATACGCACCCTAAGATATCCTGTTATCAGCCGAGGTGTAACTTTCCTAAGTAATGACAATCGATAAACTTACATGAGTTGAAAGCTATGTGGGAATTCCGGGGTATCATTTATCCCCTTAAAGCAATGCTTGTCGTTAAAGGCGACAGACGAATCGGGTGGTCTGGTTCATGGCGCGATGTCGAACCCCAACGGCGTGGGACTCTGTTCTTTATATCAACTACTGGTGTATTGATTATTTACAGACCCCCGCAATAAAGCCTTAAAATTCCTGGCTGCGGCGTTGAACAATAAACAAACAAACAAAATCATCCGTTTGATATTCGCCATTTACTGAACAGAAAAATCCAGAGAAGAAAACCAAGTGTACGAAATCGCGTCAAGAGTCCACGTTGAGCGCGTGCAGTTCACTTTGACACATCACGTGGCGCACGAGATTCACGATCTTTTCACGGCGTTTCCAACACCATTCATCGTATGCTAACAGGACGAAGGGCATCACTCAAACAGCGTTTGGCTGCTCGCATTTCCGCGTGACATCCGGGTCAATACGAGCTGAACGTGAACTGCGGCACGCATTGTAACTTCTTCAAGCGGAGGAGAGACACACGTGGTGAGATATTCAGGTATAATTTTATGTATAATTAGGACTCTTAAACAATTTAATGATTTACTTTTCATTTCATTCGTAATTGTGCTACATTTTGCTTCCGTTTCTTTATTTGACCGTAGTAAACTTCTATTGGTGTATCAACTAATAAATGTGAAATTGATGTATGAAATATTGAATACCTGGTACACCTCTATGTATTATATATGTATTTACGTTCAAATTTATTACTGTCGTATTCACAAGGGTCTAAACCCTTCAGTGTGTTTATGAATGTTTAAGCGTGTCGGTGGTGTTGTGTTTCCCACCTTTTACCCGCTGAATAACTGATAGCCTGGCGGGAAACCTCATACGTTCCCTCGTCTAATCGCAATACGCCGGTCGAACTCGGTAGCTAGGGGATTAGAGGATAACATTGACGGCTAGAAACGCACAACGGGTTCTGTGGTATAGAGACTAGACGTCCCTTAAGCGTGTGCGAGTACCAGTCGGCTGAAAAGGTTAGACCCGCTGCCGGACCCAAGATAACCACACACACAAACGTCCTGTCTTGCTCCAAACTGCAGACTACGTTTTTACCGTATTCGCCACGAAAGCAGACGACATTTCAAATCGTCGCTTGTGCTGTTGCTAGGCAGCGGGTGTGTTAGCCGTCTGCGATAGGACGAGAGCTCTAGTTGACCCAAACAGCGCTTTCCGCGTGTCGGCAACCTTGTGCACTGTATATAAGAGCCGGCGTCCGAATGTATTCAGATTACAAGTCAAAAGTCGAGATGAGCAAGGGAGCATCTGGAAATACCCCAGCCGGGAACGCTGACTTGCAGGAGTTATGGACCCGACTTTCTGGAGCTTCTTCGGATACATGCAAGTCCCTTCTTAAAAAGAATTTAACCCAAGCAAGGTTTGATGCCCTCAAGGATAAAAAGACGAAATTTGGAGGGACTCTTGCAGATTGTATTCGATCAGGTGAGTGATTTTTGTTCAAACTGTGCAATTTGCGTAAAAGTGAACAATTGATATGCTATGATCCAAAAACGTTAAAAATGATTGTCAAATGTGGTTTTGATTATTTTTCGCAAATTTACCTGGATCAATATATAGGTATCTGATTGAAACATTCCATAGAACGGTAAGAGCTGGAACATAAAATCCCATGTATTTTAGTGCAGTTGTACACGTTTCTGAAATTCCCATTCTACTATTTCCACCCTGTTTAACTACTGACCTCGGATAGAGGTCATTTCTTAACCCGCCTGTGGATTAGCGTCTTGAGTAAACTCAAACCCTGGTTAATATTTATCAAATATAATGATCGAGAAATCTGGACTGATTGTATGATTTCGAAAAGAAAACCATCAAACACTTCGATCTTCTACAAAGTGGTAATGGCGGATTTTAACAGATTCGAGGACATTGCCATTTAAACACGGTCATTTTATCGAAAAATGTTGGCTTGGCTAGTGGAGCAACCATCTGTCAGTAGAGCGATATTAAACGATTTTTTTATATAATTTGGTATGTTGGACTGGTTTATCTGAATATTCACCTCGTGAGAAGTTACAGATTGCAGATATCAAACCCGGTTTGCGAAATGTAAGGCTACCACGCCCAATCCTCTAGTCGATCCGATCCGCCATGATGGCCAGTGACTTGAGAAATGTGATAACAATCGGTAACACATGAGTTTTATTGTTCTAAGGTAAATTGTTGGTTTTATGTTTATGCGGAAACTGTTTGGAAGATTAAAAGCCCAAATTAACCTAGCATATAACATGGAAGGCATTAGCAAACATTGCTAATTAAATCGGCTCATCTAGCTTCCGCTATTCTAATTGAAACGCCAGTAAAAATTCAGATGAAGGTAATGGTGGCTAGAGTTGCCCCCCTTAGTCGTTCATCGACACTCGTCCGTTTCCTTTAGTTGATTGGTTTAACGCCGCATTCAGCAGTGTTCCAGCTATATGACGGCGGTCTGTAAATAATCGAATCTGGACCAGACAATCCCGTGACTAATATCATGAGCATCGATCCACGCACTTGGGTTCGATGACATGCATCAACCAAGTCAGCGAGTCTGACCGCCCGATCCCGTTAGTCGCCTTTTACGGCAAGCATTGTCACCTATTACGGCAATCATAAGTTGAAGACCTATTCTATCCCGGATCTTCACGGGACTGTACATGTGAAGAATGAACAGTAGGGGAGCAGAGGGGGACAGGAACTCCCACATTGTAAGCGTCGAACCACGCTCGGATTCACGTGACTTTCCTTCCGTTGCCCGACTCGATGTGGCTTAAGGCCCGACCACCCTAAGAGGCGACTAACGGGATCGGGTGGTCAGACTCACTGACTTGTTTGATGCATGCCATCGTGTGATCGTTCTTGATGGTGCAAATCACAGGATTGTCCGACCCAGAATGGAATATTGCCAAGTGCGGCGTAAAACAAACTAAAATAACCAATATGCAAATTAATATACAGCTGAAATAATTATTGGAATCATCGGACGTACAGCTGAAAACAGCCGTGAAGTTTTGTTAACGTACCGTTGGTTGTTACATGTACAAAGTCTTATTGCCCAATTGGTGTTTTTTAATGGGAACAATTTATCTAGGCTTTTATTACTGTGGTCAAATAACATCCCTTGCTTGACAGAACGTAAGGCTGCTAAACACGCCACACCAGGAGGCAAGATCATTGTAACTTCTAATTTGTAGGAGGTAGTATGTGAGTATTTGCAAGAGTTGGAACTAACCTACCAGCTGTCCAAATTATAGGGCCAATAACAGATTCGAGTTAATTCAAAGTATTTACCGTCCAAACCATTCGTTGACAATCTAAGGTACTGCAAATGTTGACTTAATGCTTGTACTAGTATCAGACGTTGAAAGGGAGAATGCAACTCGTCGCAACATATTATAGTATTACATTGGGATGCGAAGTTGTGAGACTCAGAGTATCAACACACACCTTCGTTTTCCTTAGGATGCAAGAACCTTGAAAGCGGTGTCGGCATCTACGCCTGCGACCCCGAGGGCTACACCGTCTTTGCCGATGTCCTCGATGCAGTCATCAAGGACTACCACAAGGTCGAGAAGCTTGACCACCCAGAGCCAGACATGGGCGAGCTCGACAAACTCCAGTTTGCTGACCTTGACCCATCCGGCGACTACATCCTGTCCACCCGCGTCCGTGTCGGCAGGAGCCACGACAGCTACGGCTTCCCACCCGTCCTCAACAAGGAGGTAAGTCCATGTCAGGGAGACAATTCCATGGTTTAGCAAGGCTATGGGACGTTGATCCTCGCCGGTTAAATAATGACATTCCCGTGAGTTCAAGAATATCCGGATTTTATTGTAACAGTCATTGACAAATGGTTGCTAATGAGTTGAACTAGTTTTTCTGCTCTATTGCTTTGAGAAATAAAGCCTCGTGATCTTGCCATTTTGGTTGATAAGACTGGGTACATGGCCTAAGATAAAATGTATAGCACTTAGAGCTCTTTTTTTCTTAACCCAAACGCAGTTGATAGAAGGGTCTTTTAACTCGGAAACCGTTCAAATGTGGTGTTTGTCACGTTTCCAAGGTAATACTTTGGAATGTGGTTAGTATGAGTGGAGGGTGTCGTTTCCGGACAGTAAGTCAACCGCCTCTCCGTTCTTTGTGAAACTTGGTATACACATCATGCAAGTGCTGAATGGTGTCTTTTGCTATTCTGAGAGTTTTGTAATAGATCAGTGGACACATCTCTTTAAGAATACACACAAAACTGACAATGTAATTTATTTTTGTACATTCATCAATGACATAATTATAGAACAGGCTCTTGCAGAAAATGTTGATGAAATGAATTTGCCCTTCATTAATGAAGACATGTTTGATAGTCCATTGAATCTGAAAAGTAACAATTCACCTGGGCCAAGTGGAATTAATAATGGATTTTTTAAACTCAACAGAGCACCTTATTAAATCCTCACTCACTAGACTCTTCAGCAGGATACTTCTTACTTGAACAGAATGGGGAAGAAGTATAATGTGTTATTCACAAATCGGTAAACTTGGACCCCAAATATTAGTGGAATATCTGACTCCTATGCAAAGTTCTGACATATTCTGGATAAAAGACAAGTGCTGGTGTGACATTAATAATTACACACGAATCTAAAGCAGATTTTTTTCTTTATCCCGATGCTCATCAATTGATCATTGTCATGCTACAGTTTCACAGGCATACCTCTCCAAAACTAAGGGTATATTTTACAGACACTTCGTTGACTTTTCAAAGGCATATTTTCAATGGCAGATACTGCTTTAGAATTACAAAAGAAATAAATGTGTAGGAAACATTTTGTGATTCTACAGGAATGCAAGTGAATTTAATTAAAACCAGAATATTTGTCTTTAGAAGAGGGAGACCTTTAAGGAACTATGAGAAATGGACATTTAAGGGCACTCATCTTGTAGTGGTTGTTTTCACCCCCGTTATCATGGAGTAAAACCAGTTGCTGTCTTACTTCTCCAGCCAAGATGCCATTCATCATCAATAATTATCAAATTAAATTTGGATATGTCACAAAACAACGTCAAAACATTTGACAATATGGTAGTTCCTCTTTTATCATTAGGGGGGCACGGGTGGCCCAGTCGTCTAAGGCGCCGCGATTCGCTGTGCAGAGTTGCGTCCCTTGGGCACGCCAGAAACCTATGATTGTGGGTTCGAATCCCGGTTCGCCCCGATTATGTTTCTAGGTTTGTCAGCACCATACCCGTGCTCGTGGGTTTCACCGAAGTGGTAAACGTCTGAGACCTGCATCACTTCGGCCTTTCCTCCCACATTAAGCTGACACACCGTGATATGACTGGAATACTGTTAAAAGCAGCGTTAAACCCAACTCACTCACTCACTCACTCTCACTCACTCACTCACTCACTCTTTTATCATTACACAACCTTGTTGGAATTTCGGATTAGAATGGATCCCATGAACCTATGCTTGTTCTGAAAGGCAGTTCAGTGCATCCGATTTTCTGGCTTGGGGACTTGTTTGATGGTGACGTTATACCCTAACAGTCGGATGCAGTGTTTGATAAAATCACAATCACTGCGCACCATACATCAATTCGGGAATATTGTTTTGTTTCTGCAATTTAAAGTATTGAACTTGTTGAAAACTTTGAAAACATCGGAAGATAATTTGGCTTGATCATCAATCATATCAGTTGTACTTACAAGCTTTAGGATGTATCCATATCGGTATGAGGAGCGGTCGGGGAACCTAGTGGTTAAGCGTCCGCTCGTCACGCGGAAAACCCGGGTTCGATTCCGACATGGGTACAATGTGTGAAGCCCATATCTGGTGTCCCCCGCCTTTATATTGCTGGAATATTGCTAAAAGCGACGTTAAACCACACTCACTTCCGGTATGAGGTATATAACATGCTTTTTGTGGTGCAAATAGTTAAAAAGGGCTGGGATATGAATACCTGTCATGTCCAAATGAAGCCATATTTATACGTTTAGATCATTTTGATCGAACTAGCTTCGAGTAGAAATGCCTGTACCTGAACTTGTCATCTTGAAAATACGTTTCTGAATAATAACTCTCTGTTCATGGCCATAAGTTTTGTCTTGTGAATTCCAGCAACGTCTAAAGATGGAAGAGGACACCAAGGCCGCCTTCGAGAAGTTCACTGGCGAGCTGGCTGGCAAGTACTACCCTCTGGACGGCATGAAAGCGGAGGACCAGAAACAGCTGGTTGAAGACCATTTCCTCTTCAAGGATGATGACAGGTACGTTTGCAGTGAAGTCTAACTGGGTTCAAGGCCACCTGCATTGATCCCCTTGAGAGTTGAACTATTCCAAACCACGCGGACATTTGACCGAGGTAAAAAACGGGTGGTCTCACGCTGTGTACTCCAGAAGGCCGTGGATTGTAAGTGGTCGCGGAAGATCCACTCGGAGTGACAATGAGCTATCAACACCTACAGTTCTAATAGATTGTCTCAGACACCCAATTGCTAAGCATTGGAAGCGATCAAATAGGATTAGGTTGTTGGGCTCTGTGACCTGGTCACTTGGCCTATTACTTTCATGTCTTGAGTGGGAATATTGGTGATTTTGGAGTTACAACTTTCCTCACGACCTATATTCTCCATATCCCTGTCTACTTTGCCTAATGAATATTACACGGATCACAATCCATTTTCAAATACCAAGTACTCCTAATTGAACAAAAAAATATTTCTTGACCAGATTTTTGAGAGATGCCAGTGGCTACGACGACTGGCCTTCTGGCAGAGGCATCTTCCACAACAACGACAAGACCTTCCTTGTCTGGGTGAACGAGGAGGACCATCTCCGTCTCATCTCCATGCAGAAGGGCGGCGACTTGGGAGCTGTCTACAGAAGGCTGGTGAATGTACGTCATTTCACTAAATATAGACAAAAGCAAATTGATTTAGTTTGTTTTCAGTCAACAAGAAACCATATTTATGGTTCGATAAGCTTCAGTCTTTCCATGCAGGTCACTTCCAGTTGCAACACATTTTCACCTACATTTCTTTCAATATCCTAGGCCATCAAGATAATGCAGGGGAGCGGTCTCTCATTCGCCAAGAGGAAGGGTCTCGGCTACCTGACGTTCTGCCCCAGCAACTTGGGCACAGCTCTCCGTGCCTCGGTCCACATGAAGATCCCCAAACTGGCCGCACAGCCTGACTTCAAGGAATTCTGCGAGAAACTCAACATCCAGCCAAGAGGTAAAGTATTTTTATAGACTAGTAAAAGTACTGTCTGAAATGCCAGAAAAATGCTTTTTGCCTGTAAAAACAAGATAGACTGTTTCATTCTGTTGCTGTTGAAATATCGAGCAACTCCCGATCTACCTACCTGTGGTTTGTAATATTTCAGTCATAGGGAGTTCTACAATTTTACAGGAGAAAGATGTGAACGAACACAAATGCAGATTTAAGTCCTATGAGGGAAGTCAGAAACGGACTATTGAAATATGCGCATGCCTTTCCGTTATTATTATATGTAGTCTTCATAAAACATCTAATCCACAAAAAAAAGTCAATTTGAGTAAATTCTTGATGTGCATGTAGAAAATAACAAAATGACGCTGCATTTTTTCTGCATTAATTTACTCGTGCAAAGCCATTGCCATGGAACCTGACATGGAGTCTGTATTGCATGGGAAATGTAAAGAAGTTCTTTACACTTCAGAGAAATAGAGGGAAAACATTTATAAGTTTAGATAGGGAGTCTTACCAAACTGACCAAACTCTAGGGCTTTCAAAACCAACAAATCTAGTGTCATAAATAAATCAAAGAAGGTAGGGGTCGTCTCAAAAACAAAACCGGGACGTTTTCGGATATTAGACAGCTTTGATAAAGGGGTGATTAGGCGATTTAGGTGATTAGTTTTCGAGGGGAAAGAACTGGAGATTATCATAAGGTAAGGAATGGTGATGTGTCCATAGACCGATTCATCCGTGAAGACCCGGGGTAGAATAGGTCTTCAGCAACCCATGCTTGTCGTAAGAGGCGACTAACGGGATCGGGTGGTCAGGCTGCTGACTTGGCTGGTGCATGTCATCGAATCTCAGTTGTGGTGATCGATACTCATGTCAGTCACTGGATGTCTGGTCCAGACTCGTCTGTTTAGAACGCCGTCGTATAGCTCAAATATTGCTGACAAATAAACAAACATTCAGGTTCATGTAACAAAAGCCGGGGTGCATTCGGAACGACCTCCATTTCGGAAGAAGCTTCAAACGCTTCCGAATTTCAAGGCTTAGCGATTGATCTCATGGTGCATAAGTGGATGGTCTGAAAACCTCTGTCAAATTTACGTTTAAAAACCATTTATAAGCTACTATACTGACATGTCATTATTTTAGGTATCCACGGCGAACACACCGAGAGTGTCGGGGGCGTCTACGACCTCTCCAACAAGCGTCGTCTTGGTCTGACGGAGTTCCAGGCCGTCGAGGAGATGAGGGCAGGAGTAGAGGCGTGCCTGAAGAAAGAGAAAGAACTTGAGGCAGCAGCTAAGAAGTAGATCTACGCAACTCTGACATTCCAACACGATACCGAACTTGTACATATATTGAGTGTGTGTGACGCTTGTAGCTTTATCTCGAAATAGTCTTCAGAAAGTCAAAGATTCTGAATAATCGGAAACATCTTCCCAAATACGGATACCAATACCGGGCATTTATACAGCGTTACACAGGATGTAGAAGAGCACAATGCTTAGTTGACGTCATCATTGATGGCCATGCCCGTCATCGTACAGTTGGAGAAGCGGCGTCAGTTTTTGTTAATGGATTAGAATTGACCGCAGATGATTTCTCAGAGCTGTAAAACTTAATACACAGACCGTCCTACCTGTAAATGTCGGTACCTCTACCAAGTGCTAGTTTTGATTTCTTGACCAACGGGCTGCGCCAATCCTGTCACATAAGCTTCCATGGGACCAACATCCTTCAGTGTTTCTTTTCCATTCCAGCGTGATATCAATGAGGATTGTGTGCAAGTATTTAAATCATTACAAATAAAACATTGTTATGGATGTCGACCTGTCTCGTATTTTTGTAACGTCAATATCTTCAGTCATATCAGGAATTGGAATTCATATTTGCCGATATCTCAAGTTGAGTTTACATACCTTCGATAACTAATCACATTGGCACTATACTCGGATTAATGGAATCACAACGTGGTTATTGTCAAACACCTTTATCACTTTGGGCATTCCTCCCACGTCAAACCCTGATTCTGGACAAAGCCGGGCACGGGTGGCCAAGTCGTTTAAGGCGCCGCGATTCGCTGTGCAGAGTTGCGTCCCTTGGGCAAGCCAGAAACCTATGATTGTGGGTTCGAATCCCGGTTCGTCCCGATTATGTTTCTAGGTTTGTCAGCACCATACCCGTGCTCGTGGGTTTTACCGAAATGGTAAACGTCCGAGACCTGCATTACTTGGGGCTTTCCTCCCACATTAAGCTGACTCGCCGTGATATAACTGGAATACTGTTAAAAACGGCGTTAAACCCAACTCACTCACTCACTGTACAAAGCCGTGTTAAAATTAAACGTACTCGCTCAGCGTGACTCGGTAACCCGCTTATTGAGTGTAAACTGAGGGAGGTAACCCAACAATTGCATTGCTACTTACCAACGACCACACGAGCGGCGTAGCATACCAGTTATGCACCAATACGGAACAAAAAATCTTTAAATGTAGCTATTTAAAATACTTATGATCACCACGTTTTGTTCCCTATATGTAACACATTTATCATACCTCCATGTCAGAATGTCGAGATCTTATTGGTTAACGGGATCTTGACAAAATATTGTCTCACCTTACATTGAAATACTAGTTCTGATTGGTTAGGGATGGGGCAATTATTTTCCATGTTGCCCTGAGAAATCAATCTTAACACATCTTGGGTAACTTGCACATCTCGCATAAGAACCGTTGAGCTAAAATGAACGGATGTTCAAATCGAATGCATTGGGTAAAGGGAAGTAACTCGGGAGTGTCGTCTGCTAGTTGTCAAAATGGCTGAATGAAAGCGTTTTACTCCATAAAACTTCGGACATAGATTCCGGGTATGTGTGAATGTCGGGGAGAAATTCGTTGTCAACCGATCGTTCGGTGAGCCTGACTTTAGGGAATAGGATCGCACACTGTGTACATCCCACCATTAACCCCTCGGGTGACAACACGCCTGGCAGGGAAGCTGGAGGTTAAGAAGTCTTCAAACCCCTGCTTCGAAGCAAATAGCAGCACGCTTTTTTCCCAGTCAATGAAAGTCCCGTGATACAGTACAGGTTTCTATCAATTTACAATTTGTTTCAATTCTTTTACGGGGCGGTCGGGTAGCCTAGTGGTTAAAGAGTTCGCTCGTCACGTCGAAGACCCGGGTTCGATTCCCGACATGGGTACAATGTGTGAAGCCCATTTCTTGTGTCCTCCGCCGTGATATTACTGGAATATTGCTAAAAGCGGCGTAAAACCATACTCACTCACTCACACACTCAATTCTTTTACAATGGCAGATTTAACATGTCTAAGATAAATTCGTGGTACCAGTATCTCTTAGGGTACATGTGGTTTCATGCGTCCCGCGTTAGGTTTATTTATAGATAATACAAACAGTATGGATATCTATATAGATGAAAGAATATGGTGGTCCTTAACCTGTTTAATAAGTATACTATTAGTCCTAGCAGAATATAGAATAAATAATATACGCATTAAATCGACCCGTAAAGATCCGGGGTAGAATAGGTCTTCAGTGAACCATGCTTGCCGTAAAAGGCGACTATGCGTGTAAGAGGCGACTAACGATATCGGGTGGTCAGGCTCGCTGACTTGGTTGATGCATGTCATCGTATCCAAATTACGTGGATCGATGCTCATGTCAATCTGGATTGTCTGGTCCAGACTCGATTATTTACAGACCGCCGTCATATTGCTGGGTGCGGCTTTAAACAACAAAGCAACCAACCAACACATTAAATCGGGCACAAACTACCCACATTGGTCTCCAATTAACTCCACTGCAAGGGGATGACGTCACACTTGGCCTAGTCTAAAGGGGCATTCACACGGTACAACTAGTTGTATACAATTTGTTGCATGAACTCGCTTTGCAGAGTTGCGTCACCAGGCGTGCCAGAAACCTATGGTCGTTGGTTCGAATCTGAATCGCCCTCATCCTTATGCGACGTGCTCGTGGTTTTACCGAAGTGGAAAAAGGTCCAATACCTGTATCAATCCGGGACGTCTTCCAACATCAAGTCGACACGCCGTCATATAACTGAAGTGACGTTCCAATCGACGATAAATGCGACTGTTGAAGCCATGATTAGGGACAAGTTCAAAGGTTCGATGAGTTTTAAAATGCAAGGCATTGTACACCTACATAATACACTTGAACTGGTCCTTTATGACGCTATGCAGGCAAAATATAATCACTCAAGCTCTGCTGGCTTCAAATCTCCCAGGGGCGGGGGGATAGCCTAGTGGTGTCACGCCTAGGACCCGAGTTCGATTCCCGATATGGGTTCAAAGTGTGAAGCCCATTTCTTGTGTCCCCGACCGTGATATTGCTGGAATATTGCTAAAAGCTGCGTAAAACCATATTCACTCTCACTCAAAACTCCCGTTTTCAAACACCATTTAATCTAGATGGAACCCTCTTTATTGAAGTATTCCATTTTGGCGCAAGTCGCCTGTAACATTTGTGTCATGTATCTTCGAAAAGTGAAATCGGATTCTCGTGATCAAAGTATCGTGAACGACTTGTGAATATCGGATATTTCAACGAGAGTCAATCAATTTAGTTTAGTAAAGTTCTTTGTCTTAAGGGTATGAGCAAGCGCTGCGAAAGTGATTGAAGCGCTCGAAAATATCGCCAGTCATCGTTTGGTTCGTTTCAGCGCGGAAAACTTGCATTATGATTTAAGGGAATGGGCTAGAACATTACAAAACGAAAATTACATTCCTGCTTTCGGAATTTGAAACTATTTTTTTATGGAACAAACCTTTCATGTACTCGTGTTAAACTGCGGTATGGTACTTCAGTAGGCTAGCACTGTATAATCGGTATCAGTCCGAACCAGTACAAGCAGCCACATACACACATGTGCATGCACATTGCTATATAAGTGCATTCGGCCATTCGGTCAAAAAATACAAAGTTGAAATAAAAGGACAAAGGTACGCAATTAAGGTCAGATATTACGAATAAAGAACTAAATGTTACTACTAAAGGTCAAAATACAATATTCAGTGCCGTAGCCAGCCGGGGGGGGCGGGGAGGGCAGTTGCCCCCCTAGATTTTTTATAGAATACAGTTTTATTTGAATCAAGTTGGGGACAAGTGATACTTGTACAAATATTTGCCCCCCCTGTCAAAAAAAGTTAACTACGGCCTTGATATTAATAGTCAAATGTTACGAAAAGACGTCATAAGAATAGAAAGTGAGTGAGTGAGTGAGTTGGGTTTTACGCCGCTTTTAACAGTATTCCAGTTATATCACGGCGTGTCAGCTTAATGTGGGAGGAAAGCCCGAAGTGATGCAGATCTCAGACGTAAGAATAGAAAGAACAATGTGTACGAAAGAACTTTTTCAATAAAGAACGTCAGTGAGCACGAAAGGACGTTTTCAATAAAGAACACCGGCCTACGTGAAACGTGATTTTTGTAAACGCTATCCAACACAATATGGCGGAAAGTTCGCTTCGGCGTTCATGTTTTCTAAAACATTTTAAACAATTCTAGGGTTATCGGCGACGTTTCAGAATTATTTTGGTGATTTCATACATGCATTAGTTTCCGAGGTGCACAATGCACCCATGCAGTATGTCACTCCTCGTGCACCCCGTGACGTCATATACTGGTAGATCTACATAGTATCACGTCAGGCCGTACAGTCATGAATGTGGAGACTATTTTGTCAAATTTTAGCCGGCGTTTAATCCACATCACCGAAGAACTAAATCCTTTTTTGAACACAGTAACAGGTGTGCCAGCTGGACATGTTGTTTACAAACTAGATTGTTTATGCCGGGATATACTACATGTGTATGGTTCAGTCCCGCTACCTGATGAATGTGTTAATTCATTATGTGACAGAGCCGCACAGACTGCTACATTATTATTCCTCATCATCCACGCGCGATTACAGATGTGAAGCTGACAGCATACGAACGACTTGTCGGACGGCCACGTGTGGATATTTCACAGAGTCAACTGGAATTACTTCTGGGTATGTAATAATAGTAGCCTGCATGCAACCAGATGTGTGTTAATATTAGGCTTTTATGTGGGAATATTGTTCTTATATTTAAGGATTGTATTTTATTCGGTTCATTGAGGAATGACTCGAAAAGCGGATTCTTACAAAAGTTTGCACATCGGGTTTTCGATTCAATAATCCGAAACAAATACGCACCAATGCTTATAATTAAATTCGACAACGAAAATATGGAGTAAGACAAGTTCTATGGATGAACAACTTCTTTATTACAATTAGTGCGACGTTTCGGTGTAGATCCTAACACCTTTATCAAGCAAGGGATGAAAAATATGTTTCATCTACAATAGTTTAATCAAAACTGTTGTATAGATGTATATCAAAACAGATAAAACTGACGAAATTGATAAGCATTCCAGGTGTAGGAATACACACTGTGGCGTGACATGAATCAGGTGATTGTTCACATAACGTGACGCGCCTACAAAGTCAGTATATCTGACATCTGCCTAATAAGTACATGTATTTTGTATACAACCTTTAATAAACATTCATTAACGCTAAACAAGTATTAATCTACAATGATCCAATTAACTGTTCATGCACGGTGCTATGATGCCGAGACTTGTTTCAGAAGCATATATTGTCATAACATCTGAACAGTGTGCGAGAATTTGTTTTATTTAACAGCTTTTCGGAAACTGTGTGCGAACAAAATGCTGCCTAATATCTGAACGTCAAAAATAAATATCAAATAGATTTGTATGCATATGTATAACGTGCAAATAACTTGCCATAAATAAAG